ATTTGAATAAATTTCTTTTCTTACTTTCTCAGATGATACTTTCTTTTGAAGAGAAGATACTTTCGCAGATGAACTCCTCGAAGGCATACAATTAACGTATTAGAAGTATATTAGCTGGCCCAGCGAACTTCGTATCGCCATAAAAATAAGGGTGAAAATTTTGGGTTGTATGTATTTTATGACGACCTCCTTGGACTAGTGGTTTGTACGCCGGGTTTCATGGTGTCGCCGACTCGAGAGGTCCCGGGTTCGAATCCCGGTGGGGGCAAATGTTTGTGTGATGAATACGTGCATTTGTACTCCAGTCATGGATGTTTAATATGAACTTCTATATAAATATACTTATATATGTACAGTATATGTATTCTATCCGTTACCCTAGTATCCCATAACACAAGCCTTATAGTGCTTACTTTGGGGCTAGGCTAAATGGTGTGTGTGTTGGAAATATTAAAAATATTTATAGCCACAATATATAAAAATGTACAATAAATATAAAATAAATGTTAGGGTTGGACAAGTCTATCACTTAGGGGCATGAAAAATAGATAGTAGCCGATTCTCAGACCTACTGAATATGCATATAAAATTTCATAAAAATCGGTCAATCGTTTCGGAGGAGTATGGTAACTAACATTGTGACACGAGAATTTGATATATAAGATAACGGTTATCGATACGTAAACGCCTCGCCTCGGAAAGCCTCGCCGAGGCTAGGCTCCCCCGGAGGAGGCGATAAAATTACGGTTATGATTAGTGTGCGTTGAAGTACGGAGTTTCATACAAAAATACTGAACGGCTCGAGTAAATAAATGCCTTAAAGGTGCCTATATTTATAAGGTATTTTTTCGTATCTGACAAACGATTGATACGATTCTATGATACACAATTTCGAAGCAGTAGGTATTTGACTTTGATAAGTATCGTCGGTTTTGTTTCTGATCCAGCAAGCACCTTTTACCATGATGTCAATATTTTCAATTCAGAGTTGTAATAATGTCTAAACCCTATTACTGGTATCTTGTAGGTAGGGTTTGTTGGCAGGATATAAAAATAATGGAGGAGAAGTCCGACGAATGCTGTTTCTGTTTTCGCTACTGCCTATTCCTGTGGGAGTAAGGGAAGGGAATAATGGGGCTTAGATTGCTGTATCTTTGTTCCAGATGAATAAATTAAACCTCCTGGGATTTTGGGAATATGTAGTCAGGTTCATATATCTTTAAACAGAACAATGCACTTATTGACTGTACATTACTTGTTATAGAAGCTACAGCGCGATAGATAATATACGAGTGGGGGGAGGGAGAAAAAGAGTGTTTCACAACATTTATTGCCTAAAAAAAGGAATATTTAATGGAATATAAGAATAGTAAACGTCCAGATCGAGTTTATCCATAACATTTTTCCTAATTGAGCCTTATTTTGCTTTCGTTTGAGAATAATGATTTGTTATTTATAGTTGTGTATATATACTATATCTCTTAATCGTACTTAAGAAAGGTAGGGCAAAGGGAATACTCCGCTTCAATTGGAGCGCTCGCCTCGAGAGCAGAGACAGACAACTGTAGATGTCCTCTATCTTAGAAAATATCACTGTAAAATAACATCACATTTCAAAACTCTTCTATTAAAAATGGTAAATAACATCAGGGTCGTTTCAGTCAATTAGACGTATGTGTGATTGTCTCTTTCTGTTATTAAATATTTTTCGCTATATGTAATTTTGTATATTTGTCATAATTTACGATCATATTGAATCGCTTACAGAAGGGAAAATTACAAAATTATGCTGATAAGTAAATATATCATTTCGTTAAAAAACAACTATTTTTAGCGAAATGCTATATTTAATTATCAACTAGTCACATCAGTATTGCTGAAAATAAATTAAACGTGGGTGTCTTTTTTAAATAAAGCTCCACGTTATAATATTAGAATCACGTCAGTCCTAAAGTCGCAATAACATTAAATTAAAATAAATTATATTGATATATACACACATCAAAAGTGTCTAGGGATCAAGCATTTTTATGCGGATTTCTTGAGATTGAGATGTGGCTTTGTAATAAATTTATGATTTTATAAATTTATATGGATCCTTTTTGGTGCATTTCATAATTTGAATCAGGAACTGTGAATCAAATTCGAGTAAAAGATGAAAATCAGCTGTCAATATTTTCCCTATAAAAACATACAACGCATTGAAGACATTATTAGTGCTACTGTTTCCCTACTACTGATTAAAACCAACGTTATTATGGAGCGGCGACGTCATTTAAGCAGGGAAGAAATGCTCAGAGCCGTGGGAATGATAGAAGCTGGTTCCCGGCAACGTACTGTGGCTTTAGCTCTGAATACAAGTCAGAGTGTTATCAGTCGACTTTGGACACGATACCGAAGCACTGGTACCGTGGCTGAGCGCCATGGAGGACGGTATCGCTGCACCACACGGAGACAAGACCGATACATTCAAATCTTAACTCGAAGAGCTCCAACAATAACCGCCATGATGTTAGCCGTGAGGCTTCATCACTCTTCAGGGAACTTAATTAGCGACCAAACAGTCAGAAACCGCTTGCATGAAGTGAACCTTCATTCCCGAAGACCGCTACGGGTACCACCTATAGCAATGCACAATCGTGGGATTCGATATCAATGGGCTCTTGAACACAGAAATTGGGCAGAAGAACAATGGCGTTTCGTGTGCTTTTCTGATGAGTCTCGTTTTGGTATGAGACCGGATACAAGACGTATACGACACTGGAGAACCCCTGGACGCCAACAGCGATTAAAATCCTGCCAGGAAGTCCATCCTTATAGTGGTGGAACCATCATCATGGTATGGGCGGGTATTTGGATCGGCGGAAGAACTGAGTTGATTTGGATCAGAGGCAACCTCAACGCTCAAATTTATGCTGAGACGATTGTATCAGACGTCATTGTTCCTCTACAAGTGCAAATCGGTCCCTTATTTCAGTTAATGCATGATAATGCACGACCGCACACTGCAAGAGTTGTAAGACAGACTCTCGCCGCAGCTAACATCAATGTCCTGCCCTGGCCTGCTCAGTCGCCAGACTTGAACCCGATTGAGCATGCATGGGATATGCTACAGAGAAGAGCTCTGCCGAATATGGAGGGTATCCAGTCGCAAGAAGACCTTTTTTTGTTGTTGCAACGAACATGGGCGGCCATTCCACAGCGTGATTTGGATGAACTCATTTTGAGTATGCCAAACCGATGTTCTTGTGTTGTTAGTGTTCGCGGTAGAAATACGGATTGTTTAAGTTACCCAATAAAATTTTAGAGAAAACTGTTATTTCAGTCTTTTTTTCGAACTTTTGTGTTAGTGGTTCAAATGTCAAAAATCCCTTTATTAGGAAAATGGCAAATTTCTTTATTAATGCAAAGGTGACTTGGTTTATCGTTACTGTGACAAACGAAAACACTTTATTTGATGAATCCTTAAAGAAAATTTTAATTAATATCAATCAGGAGAAAAGTTATTGCAAAAATATATGTTGATCCCTAGACACTTTTGATGTGTGTATTTACTTTACTTAAGAAACATTTATTGTTGTATCACGCGTGTTTGTATAACTTAATTAAAAAAGAATGTATAACTATAACTGGGGTATAATATTTTGACGGACTTTCAGTTTCACATTCACATGCCGAAAACAATCACGTCCAATGCTTTAGCAAGTTCCCACGTGGAAAGCGAAAGCGAACCATGTAGATTATTATAGTCTCAGGATAGGACACACCCATACGGTGTCGTTTAAACGTCAACCTATTTTTAAAAGTTATTATTTAACTTGCAATTTATGTACGTAACTAGGTAGGTATGTTTTGACTCGGATTTGTATACACGTGGACATATAAATCTAGGACGAGTTAAAACTAAGGTGCTGGGAAGTATTCACAAATTAAGTATAGGTATCGTATAGTTATTTTTAAATTACTTCACAAAGGAGTAGGTTCTCAATTTGGCTGATATGTTTTTTTTCGTATACACTGTTTTACAACAACAAAAACGGGCATTTCAGGAAATTTGCGTCCAATGTTAGATTTCAGTTAGTTAAATTAAATTTAATTGTTTGGCGTAGTCTGTATACTTATAATCATTTAAATTAAAACGCGTGAAGTGAATTCTGGCATTTTTTATATAAAATTTCGATGAATTCTTTAAAACCGATGTACACGGCCAAACTATAAGAAGTGATCGGCAATAAAGACAAGATTTCTTTTTCTAAAAACAAAGTGACAAATGTAAATACCTAATAACGAGTGTGACCTCCTATTGCCAATATCACAGCTTGAATTCTTCTGGGCATGTTTTCCACGATGTTGTTAATAAAGTTTTGAGGAATACGTTCCCACTCTTCTGCAATTACTCTTTTTAGCTCCCTGATGTTTTGTGGAACAGGTTACACTGCTCACAGAATAACTTAGGGCGCCGGGCTGGGCGTTACCCCCTGATAATGGCAGTCAAAAGCCTCCTCCTGACCGTTCATAAGCTAACTTCTACTCCTCTTACTTCTTCAAGGTTGTTCTTTAGGTCCACACTTGATGGCTTACGCTTCTGCAACGCCTGACTCACCAAAAAGCGGTCATCTCTTGGTTCTGTGCAACGTTTACTTCCAGAACCTGGTCTTCTTTTGACCTAGCCGGTCTCTTGATATCGTTGCAAAGTCCTCTGGACAGTTGAACGACTCACATTTAGCTGCTGAACCACGTAAGTTTGCGAACAACCTTCTTCGACTAGGGCTATAATTTTTACCGCCCTTATCGCTTTATCACTCATATCAGAAAGTGGTATTTAGTGTTATTTTTCTTTTGTTAATTTCAAATTTGGAACGTAAACAGTCATGCCAGTATGCTTCAAATAACACGCCAATACATCGTCAAATTAATAAAACCTCATTATTGTAATATTCATTGAAGTAGAGAAAAAAATCTAAAGAGGGGGTTTTTTTTGCAAAAGAGTTTTTTTTTCTATTCTTATTGTGACCTTTTTCATTGATTTTGTAGAAATAATCCTTCTATTTATTTATTTAAACTTTATTACCACAATTACAAAATGGACAAAAGGCGGCTGTTTCCTACTTCCTACTATCCCACTAATATTATAAATATGAAAGTTTGTATGATGTTACTCAATCACGCAAATACTACTAATCGGAATTGGATGAAATTTGGCACACATAGAGTATTAACTCTATGCCATTAGACCTGGATTGAGACATGGGATACTTTTTATCCTGAAAAAATGGCAGGTTCCTAAGGGACGCGGACGAAGTCGCGGCCGGCCGCTAATTTAACATAATTGATAAATTCTACCTTTGGTTACAATGACCATTTAAATATTTATTGGTTACTTGAGATTTATATAAATCCAATAATTAATAAAATAATACATTTGCAATTGCAACATTAAAATTATTTTGTGAATTCGGTTCTTTATTCGTTTTGTGTCTAAGTATCAGATTGTATTTACTGATGATAAAATATCTCTTCAGTAGCACATCCCCTCCAACTTGGGGTGAGATGTAGTTTAAATGCGAAAACAATAGTACCTATGTTGAACAATGGAGGCATTCTTAGAGGGGTAGTCAAAGATTTGCAATGTCATTATCGTAACTATAGCTATCTTTAACAACTTAGATCGGAAGGAGAAGGATACAGATTATAGTCGGGCAGCGGAATAAGCTTTATATTCCGGTCATTCTCCGTGGATACCTACTTTCAGTAAGGTTAGGGCACAGAACAAGCTTCTTGAACAGATTAAAAAAAACTTGACTCTGCGCGTGTGTGTGTAAATGAACTGCTGAAAGCTTGCTTTCAATTTTATCACTTGGAGCAATGCAATTAGAAAAAGTGAGTTAATAATTCAAGTACTTACTTGTATCAGTTTAATTGAAATTTTGTTAAAATGAACGGCGGGACCAGTAAATGACATAAAAAAAGTTTTAGTTCTTAAAAATAATGGTGGTCGTTTTGTATATTAAGTGATACAACATAATTAGTTATTAAGCTAAATAGGAGTTGCATGATTCGTTTTTGAGAATCAATGCTTAAAATTTAGCTTCACGGGAAGCTTTAGACGTGTAAGTAGAAACATAATCGTGTGGGCGAAAGATTCCTCGCTCTCCTTGCTTGCTTAAGTATAATTTATTAAGGTAAACAGAACTTCAGCATTGGTTAGCTATAAACGTGTGTCTAATTTCGTCCTCTCCCTACGAGTTGTGGTCAGTGCTGTTTACAGTGCTCTAAACAAAACAACAGGAACATCATACGCGCTGTCAGTCAGTCCCTTCCGCGGCAGAATGTTGAATAATAGGTTAGGGTGCAGGCCGTTGTCCTTCCGTGTTCATTCGAGTATTCGCTGTGAGTGCACTTGCCTGTTAATACACATATCACCGAAATTAATGAAGTAAAAGTTTCAAATTTGTAGTTCGCGTGTTCCATAACAGTAACGATTATTGCGGTGTCGTTTTAAACAGCGAAAAGAGCTCCCGTCTCCAATTCCTCGACGACATAAAGTACGTTTATTTTAAAAGCTTTTTCATAACAGTCATTCTTAATTTTATCGTAATTTTCTGTCGGCGTAATAAATATAAAAACATCGTCGGCCGCTCGCTCCCAACGCGTCATTGCTCCGAGTAGCAGTAATAAATAAAATTTTAATCACTTTCAGGTCCCGCAGTCTGCAGACAATCTCCGTGGCTCGGAAACAACGGGGCGCGAGAAACGAATTTGAGTGTTCGCGAGTGTTTAGGCGTGTGTACGTTCGAGTCGGTTTACCTCCGCTCGCCGGGGGTGTGAGAAGGTCGTCAAAATAGCCAAAGTGTCTCCGATAAAGTTGAGTGCGATGGACAGCAACTCGGTCTCGCCGATGCCGGAGTTGGCGCCGATCGCGGAGTTCGATAAGTCGCCGCCGTCGCCGCCTAACGAGGAAGTGCCGATGGATGACCTGCCCCCGCCACCTGCCACCATCTCGGGCTCCGACACGAAGAAAGTTAAAATGTAAGTCACATTAATAAATTTTTGTACTGTTACACACTTAATTTTGAATAGATCCACATCTGATCCGCGCGTGAAAGTTTTACAGAATAGCACTGCTGTAACTCATTGCGTTAATGGTCTAGAGATCCGTGACATAGAGTCGCTGGCGACTCGGAAAAAAAATATTCGGACCATTTTGTTTGTGTCTTTTTTATTTTTAATATTTTATGTATGTGGATTCTAGCGCATGGTTTCCTGTGTAGCCTTAGCTGTTTCCTTGAGGTTACAGGGGAAGATGAATTTATACCGCTGTACCCTTGGCCATGAATTTCGACAAAATTAAGATAAAAGTCAATAATTAAGTATTTTTTTAGTGTGCATCAAGAGAACGGATCACTAGTCATTTTTATTGCTTCCTTATTGGTTTTTTTTCTGTACCTAGGTACCAGGGCAACATAACATAATGAACTTCCCTTACCAATCCATTAGTTATTTTATTTAATACATTCCCAAGGTAAAGACGAGTGGAATATGGCTGACCCACCTTCACACTGAACTTTGAAAGTGTGACAGTGTAAGAACGGGAACCCCACATTAACACTGATGTTAATGTTCAGTTTTCTTTTTGCTTGCTAGTATGTTTTAAGTATCCCTTGCTTAATGCTTTTTAGTATCCCTTCGATTATGAATGAAACTTATGATAACATAACTCCAAAGGGGATGTTTATTTTGCGTGCGTGTAAATCAATGCTGAGAACTGCTGAAAATATAATATAATACTCAGCGCTTTTTCACCAAGGTCCAAATCTGGGTGGATGTGAGTTTGTAATCTATATACAGGGCGTCCCACGGCTACCTCACACGGAGGGAAAGTATATTAAATATTGAAGATAGGATATTTTACTGAAAGAAGACATCATTTTATTTTTAATAATAACTAGAACTGCACACTACATACTAGAAATTGTAGTACGTATGCATTTCTTTTTGAATTCAGTTACAATGCGATTGGCTGTAATTTGTAATAATAATTCGAAAATGGAACACATAAATTTTCAAGCCTGTGTTTTTTTGTTTTTCGTGAGTTTCATTTTCGTTTATTTGCAATTTTTTGTTAATTTACTTACCATGGCGCATCAAAATAAAATAGATTTAATGTAAGCTTATTTTATGAACAACAAAGACATATCATTAGCTTAACGGTGGTACCGCAAAATATATCAGATAGAGACAATAATAATATAATAATAATAATAATATATTTATTTGTAAAAAATTGTACATGGTAATAATCTTATAAATATGTTAATACTAAGGCCATTATTTCACACAAAGTACCTACATATAGACATCCTCAGCCAAACTAGGAAGTTCATTCTGTTTTTTGGCTTCAGCGCTCTTCCCGAATTTTATTTGCAATGTAGCCATACAAATAACATGAGTACCATAATTTCCTACATTAACCAATATTACAGTACATTAATATAATAAATGTGTGTGCGTATGTGTGTGTGTGCGTGTGCGTATGTGTGTGTGTATGTGTGTGTACGTGTGTGTGTGTAATGTGAGTAGTGCGTATGTGTATATATAATCATAAGCATCTATATTTATAGGGCCGTGGCAACCAATTCCTCAGTTTTTTCGTAATCTAGTGAAAGTAAAAACTTTGTGATCTTCTTTTTAACTTCATGTTTGTTGAGGTGTACGATTGTAATACATTTACTGATCTTATTATAAATATGACTACTCAAAAAGCGATATGAGCGCTGAGCGTAGGCGGTTCTGTAGTTTCTGAGTAAACGTTTACAAACAATGTCCCTTCTACGCCTCTGCATCATTGTCGGGTCAAAAACAATTTCACTATGTTTTTTAATTGTAATAGCCAAAACAAAGACCTTCCTGACGCTAAGGACCTCGCAATAATCATACAGAAGCGTAGTTGGATACAGGTAGGGTTTGAAAGTACACACCTTCAGGACCGCTCTCTACGCGACTTCCACACTTTTTAAATTAGTTTTTGGCATTCCACCCCATATTGTAATACCATATGTCAATATTGATTGACATAGGGCTATGTAAATACGTTTTAGTAAAGCCGGCTCAAGGAGTCAACAAACCTTCTCGATATGTGTTTAAATAATGAAAAAAGGATAGAGATAGAGAAGGATTTTTAATAAGCCATGGTAAGTAAATTAACAAAAAATGCAAATAAATGAAAATGAAACACAAAAAACAAAAGAAGAGACACTTGAAAATTTATGTGTTCCATTTTCGAATTACAAATTTCTGTCAGTCGCATAGTAACTGTGAGTTCAAAAGGAAATGCATACGTACTGCAGTTTGTATATCACTTTATTATTTTTATCACGTAATTCACATTCCTTTCATTTAAAATGCTATGTTATTAGCAAAAAATAATCCTTATGATTAACCCTTTCGATGGTTACCATAAAATATGTCGTGTTTTTTTTCGAAATTTCACGAGTTTGACTCCCAGTTGTAACAGGCGATTTAATAAGGGACGAGGGATAAAATAGGGAATGAAAGTTTGTATAAAACTTGTCAATTTTAAACCGATCGGGCTGAGACTTTGCATGCAGGTATAAGAAAAATCATAGATGAATGTCATTGTGAATAATACAAGCCTGAGAACAAAAACTGTAGTCTACACTTCAGCTCTACACCGAAGCGAAGCGAGGGCGGGCCGCTAGTTATATATAAGTTTTAAGATGTCTTTCTTCGACTTCATCGTTCCACTTTGAATTTACGTTCACGAACAAGCATAAAAAATTATAAACGTCTGTTACATTTTATTAGCTTAGGATAATCCCGTAATTACTCGGAACTTTTCTCAACTGGTAGTTATTTATTTGCCAAAGTTGGCTAATATTTATATTATTATTTAAATCAGTTCCGGTTTTATGCTCACCTGTAAGATTTACTAGGGATTGCTAAATGTATTCCTCTTCAAAATAATTTCATCGTAGTGCAAATAAAAATGTCAGAGTATATTAGAATCATTCTGTAATTATGTGGAATGGTTTGTTATCCTCAATTTATAACTCAGCCGAAGGGCAGTTCTAGAACTAACCAACTAAGTAATCTTGTAAAAGTGCGCCGGTAATCTCTTATTTATGTAGGAACTGGGAAAGTTTCCAGAGGCGATGTTAGTAACTAAGTATCATGTGTATTTATGGGGCTAGTAGCCGTGTGAAGTTTTATTCTAAAAGGTTTACGTTTCGGTGGATATGTTACCGGCAATCGTGCAATATCTAGGCAATGTATAGAATGCCAAAATTGTCAAGGCAATGTCTGAAATATTATTTATTTTATACTTTGCTTAGGTATTCTATACAATCCCGAATGTGCAGTCGGCAATGTGTGTAAGAGAAGAATGCGCGTCGACTTCACCTTGTTTTGTTTATCTATTACGTATCTATCATGTGGCTGGCGCTTAGCCAGCCTCTGCCGCGGCACCTGGCTTTGCTCTTTGCTTTTGCACTTTGCATACAATGCCTACACGCTCCAGACATTCTGTACATTGCCTAGGTATTACTTAGAATACCCGAATTATTCAGAGTGCCGGTGGCAGATAGACTCATTTTGTAGGAAATGTTTCAGCACCAGGGATCTTTGAAACTCTATAACCGTAACTAAGTCTGAAAATATCTGATATAAATTTATCCGAAAACTTTACCGAATAGGATATATATAAAACCTAGCTGACCCAGCGAACTTCGTACCGCCATAAAATTATGAGTTGGCGGTAGAAGGATTAAAATTAAGGGGTTGTATGTATTTTAATGCCTAATTGTAAAAAAATAAATACCAAAAAGTATAAAAAAAGTTAGGGGTGGACTACCCTCATCACTTAGGGGTATGAAAAAAAATAGTAGCCGATTCTCAGACCTACTAAGTGTGCATATAAAATTTCATAGAAATCGGTCAAGCCGTTTTGGAGGTTTATGGTAACTAATATTGTGACACGAGAATTTTATACATAAGATAAGATATCGAATTATTTTGTATGTGGGCCGAGACTATTAAATGTGGCGACTTTCATTTTAAAAGTTTCCATAAATTCCCGATTCCTATAGTTGTTACAATATTAAAATATGTAGGTAGGCTACCTATATATTAAAATTGTTACAATGTAACTTTTGTGTTCCTTTTTTATTACAGAAAAGAATCTAATAAAAAAAGTACTCAAAAGTGCAAAATTGCAATGAAACACAAAAATATTAACAAGTAACCATCATCAAATTGCTTTTCTTCAAACTTGAAAGCTTATTTTTTTATGCGAAAATATTGACGAACCTGTGATGCCTGATGATGAGTGAGTGGAGATAAGTAGTTTTTTCACAAAAAACACATTTTTCTTGTAAGTACGAATATTTGCGATCTCGGTGTTTATTTACGTTTTGGGCAGCACTTCATTTTTAATCGATGTTACAGGCCACTCTGCGAAGCTCATAAAAGTGTCAAACGCACTCACTTGCCTCTTGATAAAACGGGTTTCTTCAGCCCGTCCGTGTTGAGTATTTTGTACTTATAAAGAAAACTGAAAAAATTGGTTATAAAAATATTATCGTAGCAGTTAAAAGGTACTAAGTATTAGATTACTAGGTATTTAGTAAAAGAATTTTCTTATTTTTATCACACTAATATTATAAAGGCGAAAGTTTGTGAGTGTGTGAGTGTGTATGTTTGTTACTTCTCCACGTCTAAACGGCTGGAGCGATTTTAATAAAATTCACGGGGCACAGCTAGTATAAAATAAAGACGAATTATTTAAACCAATAAATCCACAACGAAATATTACTTACGTAATAATTATAAAGCTGCGTACGGATAGTGCGTTCTAGGGCACGCTTTGCCGGCCTAGCCTCTAACTTTTTTGACATTTACAGTGTGTTACTAAAGAGAAAATTGTATATCATCGATGCTTTTTAGAACAAGTATCATAGTGCCAATATAATAAAGCAGTAGTAGATAACTAAAGCTAGTTAGCTCTGTGATTA